AACTGTATTGGTATAAAGATGAATATATCAATATTATGAATTAACACATTGTCTTTGACCTAAAAGTTCACCTTTTCCTTCTGGTTTTGTAAGCTAGCACAACATTTGGCAGGCCTGTAGAAGCACTGTGGACCCTCGGCGCCACGCCTAGTGGATAAGTGGGCTCTGGGAGAAGCTGAGATCCCAGAAGAGGGAGGCAGCTGTCTACAGTCACAGAGAAGCTCCTTCCTTCCTTGGCTATTTGTACCACACTGTGCTTTGATTCTGAGACACTAGGAAGGAACTTCCATGAACAAGGTGCAGCCCGTGTCGTTCTGAAGGAAACAGCTTGAACAGACCCTGGCTGGGCCCTCAGGGAACACACAGTGGCGGAGGGAGGATGAGACCCAGACACACCACCCTTGACGCTGGGAAGAAGACTGTCACGGAGAATCACACGGGAGCTGGCACTACGGGGGCTCACAAGGAGGGACAGTTACTTGGAGCTGAAGTGGGAAGAACTCAGGGATGAGGGCTTTTCACTGGGAGTTTGCTGTAAAGGTGTCCCACGAGAGAGGTGCCACAGCAGAGACATGAAGGAAGGAGCCGGGGGACATCCAGTTCAGAGAAGAGCTCAGCGTGGCCTGAGTGTAAGACAGGAGGAGAGGCAGGGGCAGGCCACACGGGCTGCATGTGCATGCGTGAGGAGGTGTGTCCCATGCACTGGCATGGGATTCGTAGGCTCTGGGGGCCACTGTACATTTCAACCAGGAGTGAGAAGATCAGAGCTGTGATTTAGAAAGGTCCCCCTGGGAGGGCAGAGTCAGCTGGGGAGAGATTAGGAGATGCTGTCACAGGGGTCTTGGTGAGAAGTTGAAGGGAGTGAGGCTGAGGGGAACATGGGTAGGAGGAAAAACAAGAGCCATGCAATGCCACCCACACCGCAGACAGGCTGGGGAGAGGAAGGCGGGCGAGAAAAGGCCACTGGCTCTGTCATCGGGAGCTCCCTGGGAGCTTCAGGGTCCAAGCAGAAGCCAGACTTCCATGAGCGCAGGTAAGAGTGAGGGACCAGGAGGCAGGGCTCTGAGGCCGCCTCGGTCCTGGGGGCACCAGCCCACCTTTGCCTGGTGAAGCCGAGCGAGTACTCACTCTCTGTTCCTAGCACGGGAGGAAGAGAGCTCTTGGGCCTCCGGGATTTCATCTCCGGGGCCTTGGTGTTCTCACTGGCCGGAGCATCTGGAACAAAGCAGGTGACAACAAGCTTTAGTCAGCAGCTGCTAAGGAAAATAGCAGGGGAAGCATCTCGGTAAAAACCCCACCTACACCAAAATCATAACCAAGCCCCCACCTCACCCCACTCGGAGGGTCCTCCCTGCCCGCTGAGCAGAATAGCACCTGCAGCTGGGCACCTCCCTCCGCCCTCCATGAGAATGCCAAAGAAGGACAGTCCGCTCCCCTGGGCCTGATAAATCAGGCAGAGACTGGTGACCCCTGGAGCTAGTGACACCCCCTCTCAGCAGCACATGCCACCAGAAAAGACATCGCTGGCAGGGCCAGGCAGAGTCACTCCTCTACTCTCCTCTCCCCAGCTCTCTCCTTCAGGCCTTGACTCACTCAGCTGAATGTTCTGGGTTTCCACGGGGTGTCTCTCCTACAGAGGAGGGAGGAGATGGGGTCCCTGCCCATAAGATAGGTGTCAGGCAGCCTCTGACTTCTCTGACTTCCTTCTACAGACCAAACTTCGCCCTGACAGACTGAACGAAGGCCTCTGAGCAGGCCTCTGTGCACCTTACCCCTCTGAGACTGAGTCTAGGACTCACACTGGAGTTTCTGCTGCCCCTTCTCCCCAGAGCAGGCCCAGGGAAACCCCGCTGCAGCCTCCTGCTGGGCCGATCCAAAAATGCTGGGCAGGTGAGTGCATGGCCTGGAAGTTGAGGGGGGCCTGGGTCTCTACTCACACTCCTTCTTCTGAGCGTTAATGCAAAGTGTGGATAATGACAGAGGGAGCCTTCCCTTGTTGGGGCAGCAGGGAAGCATCACTCCGGGCTGGGCGGGGTGGAAGAGGCCCTCGTGGAGCCCCCAGGAGCCTGTGGGGAAACCACCCAGTGACTAAGGGGTAAGAAGGAGCTGGCTGAACAGCTATCACTAGGCCCCGGCATGTTCACCAGCCTTCCTTTCCCTCACAAGGAACACTCTTTGGGGTAGTAGGAGGGAGCCCCCCCTCGGAGCTCCCTTCCTGTCCATCCTTTTCCTGCTCCCGAAGAGAGGAAGCTCAGAGGTGGGGAGGAGGGGAGGGACTTTCCAGCGGAGGCTCCGGCCACATTCCTGTGGCTTGGCTGAGGAGCAAGGGCCACCTCGCTGTCCCTGCCTCGAGGATGGGGCAGTCCTGGCTGATCTTGCCTAGACTGGGGCTGTGAGGGGTGGGCACAGGGAGCACAGAACGGAATGGCTGGGGACATATTCACGTGGACTCTCCTAGTGGCATTTGGGTTCCTTGCCGGCTGCAGAATATGGATATGCCCACATTAGTCCCGCCATGCACCCTTTCTGAGGCCTGAACACCAGGCAGGTCTCCTCCCAACCCGCCCGCCCACTCCCTAGGAGCCGGGTAATCCAGGGACCGAGAGGCTCATGGCAGCTCAGAGACAGGTCTAGGGGACATGGGGGTCAATGTCCCCACCAAAGACAGAAGACACCACTGAGGGCACAAGGCTGAAGAAATCCTTTTACACAGCTCTTGATAACCCAGCCCCTTCCGTGCCTCCATCCCCACAGCGAGTTCCCCGACTCCCACCACCTCCCAAAGGGCAAAGGAGCCCCGTGGCAAGTGAGGGGTCCCTGCCATCCAGAGTGACACTGCCAAGCTCCTCAGGGGGCTGCCCACACCCTAGAGCACCGTTTCATGTGGACGCAGATGGGAGAGCAGAACGCCCCGTGGGGAGGGATGATTCATCCTCTTACATGGGAAGTTTTCCCCATGGATCCCGGTGAAAAGTCCTCAGTACATACTTACTTGTCAACTTCGGTGGTTTGCAGCCTCAGCCATACTTTAGAAGCACCAGCACTGGGGTATCTCAGCCCCCAAATCTTAGTCTAATGTCTGGGCTAGGGTCTGCGCAGCAATATTACCCAGAAGCCCCAGAGATGGTTCTCACGTGCTGCCAGCTGAACTCCCAGCCTCTCCTCAAGCTCTCGTGACAGCACATGCGCAAGGTGGCAGTGCGTGCAGGCGGGGCTGCGGGCGGGTCCGAGAGACAGGAAAACCTGGCAGTGCTTCCCCTTGGCATTTGGGGGTCAGGGTGCCATACACCAGGGGCAAGGGGCCAGCGTCAGCCTCCCTTGTCCTGGGCCCTCCCCTCTTCCCTTCTTTCAAGACGAGCACTTTTTGTTTTTCTGAGACAGGGTCTTGCTCTGTCACTCAAGCTAGAGCACCATGGTGTCACTGTAGCTCACAGCAATGTGAGACGCCTGGGCTCCAGCAATCGTCCTGCCTCAGCCACCGAAATAGCTGAGACTGCACACCTGCACCCCCACACCCAGCTAATTTTCCTGTTTTGTTTTTTTTTTTTATGGAGATAGGGTCTCACTCTTGCTCAGGCTGGTCTTGAACTCCTGGCCTCAAGCGATCCTCCTGCCTCAGCCTCTCAGAGTGCTAGGACTACAGACATGAGCCACCGCCCCTGGCCAACTTCTAACAGTCACTGATGAAAATTTAAAGAAAGGTGCACTCAGAATGGTTTTTGTTTCTTTGGCCCTTTCTCAGGAAGAGGAGTAGAGGGCAGAGCATGTCCATAGTTCTGCATCCCCGGGCTTCGGCACTCTCCCCCTCAGTGAGTCCCAGAACATAGAGCAGGGAGAAAAAGAAGGATCAGGGTTTTTTTTAACTAATGAGTAAACTTAGGTACAAGCAAGCAAAGGATGAGAGGCCCAGGTTTCCTGGGTTCCAGAAAGGGCAGCAGGGACTGTGATTCGTTCTGCGCCCGTGGGGTTACGTTGGGCTTTACTTCCAAGCATCACCACAGCAGGGACCCAGAGAGAGAGCTCTAGTTTTGGCTTTGTCATCAGCGATCTTGGGAACTTGCGCAAATAACTTAAGCTGCTCTATGTCTCTGTTTCCACATCTGTACAAGCGAATGACTCTTATTTTCTCTGCCCCATAGTGTTTCGAGGCTCAGCGGAGAGAATGCCTGCAGCAGTGCTTTGGAAAGCAGAAAATGGTCATTTACTTATGAGTTTGCTTCTCCTGTTAACACGTTCCCTAGCCTCCTGAATTGGTTTTAACATCGTCCACCTTCAGAAGGCCCTGCCAGAGAGTCCCCACCTGGCTCTGCATCTGCGCGGGGCTCTGCGGCACGGGGTTTTCACTGGACGTGCCAGCAAAGCTCTGAGCCTTGTTTTTAGAAATTCCCTCGCACCTTATCTTTCCATCTGGCTGTGAGGAAAGGGGCTCAAGTTTCCCTTTGGAACCAGGCACACCCCAGACGTGGAGCCCCACGGGGTGGCCCCGCCCCCAGAGTGCCAGCGCTGTGGGGGCCGAGCACGCACCAGGGGCTGGCGGAGGATGCTGCGCCGCTAGACCTCCGTGAGAACCGCAGCAAGGAGGGGGCTGGAAGGGCCACGGGCTTAATCAAAACCAGCTTTGTGCTCACACGGCTGGCCAGGGGATAAAAATAATAGTAATATAAGTTTAAGAGCAGCTTGTATTTTCTGTCTATTTTAATCATTCTGTGATGAAATTGAACTCCATTTCTAGATCTGTGCTCCAGGGCTGAAGTCGGCCTGGCTGTGCCCCTAAAGAAGCGTGGGGGAGGAAGACGGAGGTGTGGGGAAGTGGGGGGCCTCTACGGAGAGAGGAAAACTTATCCTTATATGGACAGAGCCTCACCCCTTCCACTCCTGGGCTAGCTCTGGACTCAAGCACTCCGGGCAGCATTTTTTTTTGTCTCCCCCAAGAGGTTGGTTCCCTGAGCTTTGGCCCTAGGCAGGGGAATGAGGTCTTGGGAAGCTTCTGGGAGGGGGTCCAGCTTCTAAGAGCGCCAGGAGGGGGCAGGGCAGCAGGGCTGTGCTCCAGCCTTCCCTAGGATGGCCCATTCCTCCTGGCTGTCCTCTGTGCCTGAGAGCAGACACACGCCAGCACAATAAGGAGAGTGATTTCTAGTCAGGAGCCTTCAGCTCCTTTCTGGCTCTGTTGACGGGCCGCTCTGAGTCTGACCTTCCTCCCTAGGAAGGTGGGGTAGCAACACCTCAATAGAAGAGGGTAGGAGAAGCAAATGAGTCACAGTGATAGCTGACTGTGCCAAGTGCTTCAGATGCTTCCATCTGGATGACCGAGCCATTTGCCAGTACTTAAGTGTCTCTGACCTACAAAAACAGCAATTTTATTTAGTTCAGCCTAACACCAATTAGCTGCCTGTGATGATTTAGACAATAGATGTGTCTTAGAAGTATAGCAGAACAAAGGCCAACCAAACAAGTGTGGGAGAGACCAGCTCAGTGGCAACCAGAGGGGCCCAGTGGTCATGGTGGCTGTGGGCCCTGCTAGTTAGGGCCACCTCTGGCAGGTGACTCAGTCTCTGGATGCCACAGATGAGGCTGTTGTTACTAGGAAGCCCCTGAAGCCCTCTGGTCAGGGTACCGATGACCTCCACGTTGCCAAACCCAACGGCCACAGCTCAGGCTCCTCTCCACTGCGCAGCGGCACTCGGCGCATGGTCTGCACCATTCGGCTTCTTGAAGTTCTCACCACTGGGCTTCTGGGTCCCATCCCGTCTCACTCCCACCCCCTGGATTTCCTCCTTTCTCACCGTGGCCATTCCTTCTCAGGCTCCTTTGCAGACCCCTGGCCTACCCCTGCCCTGCCCCTGCCCCTCAGTGTTGGACTCTGCCTCCCCCTCTTCCCTGCCTCCCCCTCTTCCCGTCTCCACCATATACGCCCCCAGGGGCCCATTCGACCCCAGGACGTCATATGGCCTCTGTATGTGGATGGCTCCCAAATCCCAGCCTTGACCTCGCCCCTCAACTCCAGATTTATCCCAGTATCTGCCCCTGTGACATGCTCACTCTGGGTGTCAAATGGGCACCTTCAACTTCACCACAGGAACTCCTGACTGTTCCCCCAGCCCTGCGTTCTACTCTCAGTTGCTGGTGTCTCCCCGATGAAAACCAAGAATCGCCTTTGACATGTCTCTCTCCGAATCCAATTCATCAGCAAATCCTATCAGCTCTTCATCAAAATAGATTATTAATCTCACTTCCTTTCTCTTCCCCCGAATCTCAGCTGCCTTTGTCTCCTGCCTGGGCTACCGCAGCAACCTCCCACCGTTTTCCCTTTTACCTGTCCTGAGTCTGCCTCTGACTCCAGACCTATCTGAATGTCTGCCTAAGCATCATGCCCACTTGAGGGGTAAATGGGCATCTTAAACTTCTACACGGACACCTGAGTGATCCTTTACAGATGTCCAGTGTTGTCCCATCACACCTAGAATAAAATCAGGTTTCCTCGTCACCACGAGCACTGCTCGGACCTGGCCCATGTCCTCCTCAGCCTCATTTCCCACCTCCCTGGTCTCCCTCCTCGTCCTGGAACGCCTCAACCGTGTCTCATCAGCGCACGGCAGCAAGGAGGGGGCTGGAAGGGCTCTCGCTATCACCTCTCCCCTCTTCCTTCCCTCACTACTCTTAGGTCTCTGTTCAAATGTCCCTTCATCAGAGAGGCCTCAGCAACCTCCCTCTCCCAAAACAGCATTCCTTCCCCTGGCACCCTGGTCTGCTCTCTTCACAGCACGTGACATTCCCTGTGACATGCTATCCATCTGTATTATTGCCTCCCTCCAGGAGAATGTAAAGTTCCCAGAGCAGGAACTTTTTCTATTGTGTTTACTGCTTTTAACATAGCCCCTAGAGCAGTGCCTTGGCACAGAGTGGGCACCTAAATATTTGTTGAACAAATGAGTGATGGCCTGAGTACCCGCTGGAATGTCCCCTCCTACCACAAGCATGCACAACCCCCCATGGTCACAAAGCCCTGACCTCAGTAGTCACTAAGGCTGGGTGCCTCGGCCAGGGTGGCTGGGGAGGGAAGGCCTGAGTGGGGAAGGGCTGGACAAGCCAGGGAGGGGCTAAGGTGTCTTCTGACCCCTGTGATAGGATTCTGGCCTAAGAAGGGCTTTTGTTCCTCACCTCTCATCTGGGTCTGAAAGAGAGGAAATGGGTTATGCAGTCCCACATGCGGGACTTCCCGGCGGGGAGGGCTGTTGCTAAGGGAGGTCTGGATCGGTCGGAGAGGAGCCCTGCTGGGGTGACCCACCGCACAGGGAGGCTGCGCCAGTCTTGGAAAGGTGCAGGCTTCAGAGCCAGACACACCTGAGTCCTGCCAGGGTAATTCACATCATATTTACCGTGCAGGGTGGGGCTCCAACTACTGCCTACTGTCTGTGTGACCTCGGAAGGCCGTTGACCCTCTCTGAGCCTTGGTTTGCTTATGAAGAAAGACACCCTGCCTAACTGTTGCATAAACTAAAAATGCAAATGTACAAGAGTCTCCGCCCATGGCAAGCATTGAAGGTCAGCTTCTCCTCCTCCTGGGCAAGTTTTCTGGCAAGTTCTCACCTATTCTAGGCTTCAGCTCCCTTCTGTGTGGCACAAGTTGACATTTGCTTTCTGCTGAGTTTAGAAAGAAGGGTGGCATGATCATAATCATAAAAGTGCAAAAAATGCCTTTTCTTAGGAAAAAGACCCAAACAGCATGATTAAAACCATGAGATATGCTGTATCGTAAAGGTTACCTTCCTTATCTTTACCACGAGGGAAACAGTGGAGCGGCTGATGCAGAACAGCCAATGAGCCCTGTTTGCCTCATTTTTATGAGGTCTTGAAATGTATCAGCATGTTGGCCTCAGATGTATGGTCTTACCAGTGTTTGGCACAGGCTGAGTGAGTGAGAAAGAGGGATTTTCGTTCCAGGCCAGCCCTGTCAAGGGGCAGGGAAGCCTGCCTGAAGTAGCATCAGCTGCGGCCCCCACACCCAGTGAAGGACCCCGCTGCCCCAGCCAGAGGTCGAGCAGGCAGCTGTGGATGGGAGAGACTAGAAGACCCCACATGATGACTGGACTTGAAAGTTCAGTCACAGTTACTCCTTAGGGCCACAAGTTCTTTGACGTATTTTCATTCATGACTCCTTTTGAGAATTTGGTTAAAAACTATGGACCACTCTCTTTAGAAAGATGCTCCAACCCCTGCCCCCCAACACACGCAATTTTGTCCATACTTTCAAAGAATACATGGACCCATCAGGCTCTCCAAGTCAAGTACTACACCTTGGGGAGCAGGGAGAGCTGAGGGGCTGAGGGGACAGAATGAGGTCAGAGAGCTGACCCAGCCGGGAGGAGCACCAGCCAAAAAGAGGCAAAAAGGTGCAGAATGGTGGTAGGGGGCAGTCGAGGAGACCCCAGTTCCTCATCGCTTGCCTAGATGTGGCTTTTGATGGAAAACTAGAGCTAAATGAGGCCACAAACCCACCCGGCACACAGGACACTAACATCTCCAGGTATAGCCACAGGGAAAGGAGTGCAGGGGGGAAGGGGCTGCCCTTTTTCTCCCTGAGAACCAAACCACACAGAGCGCAGTGGACAGAGAGGCGGTCTGTTATCTCAGCTGGGTTCCCTCCTGCCACTTTTCTAGCTCTTCTTCCAAGACTCAGCTCCCAGTTTGCAGCCAGAGGCCAAAGCTTGCCTTTGAAGGAACTGGAGATAAATAATGATGGTCACCAAGATTAGTGGAGAGAGCGAGGGAATGTTCCAGCAGACCTCTGGGCAAACAAAGCCCCTTAAGTTGCAGAATGAATTCCCCAAACGTTAAAAAAAAAAAAAAAAAGAATTCCCAAATGTATCCTGTAGGGGAAAAGGAAATTTCATCTTGAAAAGAAATCTGGAAAAGGTGCTGACATTTTACAGATAAGGAGAATGAATTGCTCTCCTGCCTTCTGCTGGCCGTGTAAACAGACCCACAGAGGCTGGGGGTTCGGAAAGCAGATAACCTCATTAGCTGGCTGGGCTGCCCTATGTGTGGGTCCCAAGGGAGGAGAGGGGCTGTTAGAAATAGGCTCCCAGGCCAAGTTCCCAGAAATGCTATTTATTTAAACTGTAGCACCTGTATAGAAAGAGGCGGGACTCTGAGCTGGGGGGGTAACAGGCCAGGTGAGGAGAGACTCCCACATGGAGTAATCAGCAGCAGGAGCCCCTCCCAGAGCTTTGAAATCCGCATCACGGTCCCCCTCTGAACCTACAGAAACTTGGGTCCATCAGATCTGGTTCCCTGGACTCAGAGCCCTTGTGGCTAGTACATTCACAGAACTCCTGGGAGATGTACACAATATTAGATGATTTCAGCTTAACTTTTGGCTACTGGCAATTTAATTTGTGTTGCCAATATGTATTTTTCAAAAAGACTTTTTAAGACTTCCCCCTCTCTCCCATTCATTATGTGCCATAGATCCCAGCTTTGTGATCAGGAAATTGGATTATAAAATCCAGAACGGGGACACAAAGATCCTACATTTTGTGCAATGGCAGTGAAACAGGTTAGGGTTTTAGAACTCAAGTGATCCCTTGCAGGAGTCAGCAGAACAGCAAACCTATGCTTCAAGATGCCTTATTTGGACACTGGGTTTCGATATGTCACTGATGGTTATTAACCAGGCATTTCAAAGGCAAGACATTGTTTCCTCCAAACTACCCTTCTAGACATTTCCAGGCAAGCACTGAACACAAAGAAAGGGCACTGGATTGTGCTTCCCGGGACGGGGTTCTGTCCCCCTCCCCGGCTCGATCTTGGACAGGCTCGGGAGCCTCAGCAGGATGCTCTTCCTCTCCCAATGCCCGCAGTTTCCTCATCTGTAAGATGAGTCTAAACCACCACGAAGTTCATTCTGAGTCTCCGGTTCTACACTCCTCAGAGAGGAGAGAAAAAGCCACGGATGCACTTCCTGCATTTCTTTAGGACAAACCCTAATTCTTCAGAGCTTGGCACTGCCCCTTCCCAGCATGGAAACCCCACGTGGCCGTGGCAGGCCCACGCTTTCTCCCATGTGTCTCCCCCCTCCCTCTGCTATTATTATTACCATTTGCTTTTGGCAGAGGTGGCCCTGTCCTCTCTACCCAAAGACTCAGCCCCCACTCACCTCCTCGAGAAAGTCTCCCCACACGGCCCCACTCTGCTCCCTCCTCCTCAGGTTCCAGGACTCAGGACCCAGGCTGGGTCTGTCCTGCCAGCACTGACACTCTTGTGGCTTGTAAAACACTTTTAGTCATTTTCCTGTGGGTGTGTCTCCTCTCCTGCCCAGTGCCCCAGCTTCCCTGCTCAAAGGTTCTGGGTGTGGGGGTCAGGGCTTGGAGGTGCCAAGAAGGTGAGCAGCTCCTCCTCCTGGCCAGGGGCGGGGTGCAGGAAGAGCTGCCACTTTTCCTCCTGTTTTTATGCACAACATAGGCTGACGTGCACAACGAATGCCTCGGGTAGGGAGGCCAGTGCTGGGGGCAGTTCCATGCAGGTGTGTGGCAAGAGAGGGGCTGAGAAGTGGGACCCTGTGCGTGGTGGTGGCGATGGGTGGGCACGACCTACCGTCCACAGTGACTTGGCAGGAGCACTCAGCCTGGCCGGCGCCATTCTTGGCCACACACTTGTATAAGCCTCTGTCTTCGGGCAGCGCCTTCTCAATGGAGACGGAGCAGAGTGAGCCTGGCGGGGAGGAGGAAGAACTGTTGAGTGGACCAGGTATGGCCCCAACACCTGCCCTGGCACCTGGAGCATGGCAGCTGACTGTTCCACAGGAGGCCTCTGGGGGTCCAGAAGCCAGAGGCCCTGTGGGAATAAACCCTCTCTCCTTGCTGATGCCAGGGCACTCTCTGCTGTTAACCCATGTTCAAAATAAGTGACCTCTAAATCCATTCCCTCCCGGTACCCCTCCCCCTCTCCAGAGAGTCTTCTTATGGGCACACAATGGAAGATTCCAGAAGAAGAAAGAGAAATAGCCTCTGCCTTTGGAGAGCATCTAATACAACAGAAGGAGGTGGACACAGGCCCCGCACACTGGGACGTCACCAAGAGAGAAAGGAGTCAGGCACAGGGTCACAGACCCATGTCAGCAACAGGGCAGGTGAGGGGCTCCGCCCAGCTGACAGCAGTGATTCTGGGAATGCACCGTGAAAAGGGAGCTTTGAGCAAAAGAGGCAGGTGGAGGAGGGCAGGAGCCCTTGTCCAGGAGGGGCGCTGGCCTGTGGGAAGATCTGTCGGTGGCGGGGAGCAGCTGACTACAGCCTGGGACCTGGGAGCTGATTTCTTAGGATGGTGTCTGAGCCAAAGATCCGTGGCCAGTGAGGGGCACTTTGGGGCTGCCCCCCTTCAGTGCCAGGTCTTCAGTTTACCTCAGAGAAGAGTGGGGATAGCCCTCTCCACGGACTCCCACCTGGGTCTACCCTTGCCCCCAGCACGCCGCATCTGGCTGGCTGGGGTAAGGAAGGAGGAGTCCGGGTGGGCACACACAGGAATCTGGGGTCTGGCTCTTGCCTGTCCCAGCTCTCCCATCCCAAGGCTGGCCACTGCTCCTTTGGGGGACCTGCTTGGGGAGTTTCCCTCATGGTGTGGGGAGAGGTCAGCCGAGGTCTGGGCCTGCTGTGCCAGGCAGAAGGGCAGGCAGCTCTCTAGGTCCTGCCTTCAGATGCAGACAAGCCAACAGCATGGCGTCCTGCCCCAAGCTACTCTATTGTCAGGGCAGCAGCCATCACACAGGAAGAGGACAGAGCCAGGGCCACGTGTGTCCTGCTGCCTGAAGCCACAAGCCACTGTCACTGGGAGGGCAGAGCTGTGTCCTGGGGACAGGTGTGGGGGCAGCATGACCAGAAGGGAGACCAACAGGCACTGTTCCCCAAAAGGCCTTCTGATCTTGAAAAGCGTGCAAACCTACCACCGCCCACACCCGCCAGCCCCGTTAGATGAAGGCACAGACTTGATCAAGGAAGTTCGGAAAGAGGAAAGATGACATCTGTTCTTCCTAGAGAGCCTTGCTAAGGCTAGAAGAGAAAGTAAAGGCGTGCTAGTCCCCTTTAATCCCTGCCAGCTGCTAACATTTTAAACAGAGAATCCTTCAGCCTACAGAACACCTGGGGTGGGATGGCTGCTCTGCACCCCACCCTCAGCCTCCTATGCCCCTGCACGGACCCAACCCCTCAGGAAAGGCCTCACTCTGTTCTCTCACCAGGAAGGCCACGGGCCAGGGTCGCTTGTCACTGTGGTTGGGAGACAGAATTTGCAGAAACTGCAAGGGAAAGGATTTAGGCTAGATCTTTAGGAAGTCTGTCATGAGAGTGAGAATGGTAAGGCAGAGAGACACGGGAATGAGGATAACCATCTTCTAGAGAGAGAAGTTTCTGCCCATCTGGGTGGGCAGGAGGATGCTGAGATGACCTCTGGCCCCAACTTGAGGCTTAGAGGAAACTGACCCCATCTCGCAATGTTCCCCCAGCCTGGGTAGGGCTGAGGCTGGGGAGCAGACATCCCACCCCCAATGCATATCCTGTTCAAATCCGGGACTGTCTTTCAGTTTCGGTCCCTCAGCTGTCTTTAGCCTTGAACCAAACACCACAACCTGCAAAAACAGGAGTGGGACTCCCAGGAAAGCGGAGGAGCCCCCTGCGCCTGGGAAGGCAGGCAGCTTTGCCCAGCCGCCCAGAGCCGGGACCCCTGGCCGCGCGTGGGCTGGGGGAGGGACCCCAGGCAGGCTCGGAGCCTCAGCTACCCCAGACGAAGAATCTGGTATTTCCTGTGGGACAGTTCATTCCTGACCTCCAGAAGAAAAACCGTTTCCCAGTGTTTTTTTTAATTTTTTTTGAGAAGCCTCAGCCTGATGGGGAATTTTGAGAGGGAGGTGAGGGGGATGGGAGCAGTCAAACCAGGAATCCACTGCAGGGTGCCGCGCCCGTCAGGGTGTACAGTACGTGCTCAGGGGTCTGAAGCTCCCCCAGCCCTCCCCTTTTCTGAGTGCGTGGGATGAGGGAGGAAGGGGCTGGGGACGGAATAAGGGAGGGTCTGGAGCCCCAAAGGCTCTGCTAGGGGCTGCCTCAGCCTGCAGCGCCTCCCTGACCCGGCCCACCTGGCCAGTCCAGACCCCCAGCACAGCTCCTCTCCAGGTCATCCCCTGAGGCACGGTGCCCTCCGTGTCCTCCCTGAGCCCCCAGTCCTAGGTGGACCTCTTCTGTGCTCCCAGGTCACCCCGAGCTCACTCGTGTGAAAGCCCAGCTCACAGGGCCACTGCTGACTTACACGCCTGTCTCCCACCCAGCTCTCTGAGGGCAGTGGCCATGTCTATCACCAGTGTTTTTCCTGAGCCTGGAATGCAGTCGCACTAAAACATATCTGCCATTCTGGGAATGACAAAGCGTATTTCTGCAGCACATGATTTCGTAGGATCTACGCAAGAGAGGGTCATGAATACTTAATCAAATATAACCTACTGTTGAAAAATATGGTTTCTAAAAGGAAAAAAAATTCCTAATTCGGAGTTCTTCAAGTGGATTATGCATACAATGAAAAGGGCTAGAATAACGCCTTGCTCATAGTAGCTGTTGCATAAATCCACTTTTTGTAGAATGAACTTACAGAGGCTTTGAAAAAAGCTTTGCAAGATTCCACCCTCAAGGCAATTAAAAATGAATTATCTGTTGACACCAGCAACAAAAATGAATCCTCATTACTAGAGTGGGAGAAATGTTTTGCTGGGGGGAAGCTTGGCCTGGAGACAGGAAACGAAGCATAAAGATAAAAGCTCTTCTTGGAGTTGCTCAGGCCACCCGCCTCCCACCCCTCCCCGAGGTAGGTCCAGAAAGGGCTGGGGACAGACATGGGAGGCCCAGATGTCCGTCCCAGAGAGCACACCCAGTTGGTGGCACTCTGGACCCTATTGGCCCTGCAGCCCTGGGGGTGCAGGAGGAGAAAGGACACCTCCGCCTGTTGGTGTCTCTCCAAGAATTAACTAATGGTCAGCTCCCACCAATGGCTGTCACACCTCTTCTGCTCTCCTCGGCACACAGGAGGGAAATAATTGGGGTGGATGGAATAGGCCGGCAGGCTATGAGCCCTGTCCAAGCTACAGACATCAGAGAGGGCCCCACAACCTACGAACAGAGCGCCCTCCAGCAGCTGGGGCACAGTACACGTGCTGGTGGGGAAGGACGAGAGCTCAGGAGTCTTGCGGACGAGGTGGGTGACAACAGTTTGGGAAGACGTCCTGGAAGAAACGAATCTTGACGATAGCAGAGCTGACAGGATGGGAATCAGTGCAGTGGGGCAAGAGGGGCTCCAAGGCAGGAGGCGGGGCAGGAGGGTGCTGAGCCCAGCATGAACAGCAGGAGATCAGCAGGGCCAGTCCCTCATCTTCCCCTACAAACCACTCGACCCACTGCCACTGACACCTCACTGTGCCCCCAGCTGCCCAGACACCCAAGCGCAGTGGTCTTCCACCCTTCCTCTTCTTTTCCTACCCCCACCCCCACCGGGCCTTTCCAAGTCAGGCAGTGGGCTCTATACCTTCCGTCCTTGCTTCTTGAACTGATTATTTCTTCCCTGAGGCTATCGCTACTGTGCTCGTCTACCTTTCTCCCCATCTCTGCAGTGGGCTCTGAATTTGTTTTTTGGGCACAGAGTCAGTCAAAAGCCCTACAACTCAGCTTTGTTTACAGTGCTCCTCACTCCAAAATCTTGCACGGCTCCCTATTGCCTTTAGACTCGAGTTCCTTGCCATGATCTGGGATGAAATCGGGGCCGTGCCATCCTCTCCAGCTCTGACTGGGCTGTGACCAGGTCTGCCTGTCTGGAAAGCCCGTCCCCTCCAGCCTGCCTGCAGGGCGAGGCCCGTGCCTTCACACCAGCTTTTGCCTGCGGCCCAGCACTCAGCTCCCTCTCCTGCCTGCTAGCAGCTCCTCCTGACACACTCGCTGGCACTTGTCAGCACGTGGCTGCAACGGTTTTAGCACTACATGCATCTGTGTATCTTTTCTTTCCAGATCTGTTGAGGGAAGATCCACTCCACCTCTCAGAATGCCTTACTCCCTGCAGCGGGACCTGCGGAAGTGGCAGCTGCTAGACAAGGCCCGAAGATAAGCTTTCTCCTTAACGAAACACCTGGCTCTGGAAGACTCGGCAAATGAAGGGACAGAAGGTGGGGCTGATATTTCAGACAGGCTACTCTCCCCTACTGTGGCAAGACAGGCCCATCTCAAGGTCTGCTTCCTCCACGCAGGGAAAACACTAGAAACTTGGAAAGCCCAGGGGCACCGTCAGTCTTTGAACCTCTGGCAACTGTTAATGTTGAGGAGTAATAGCCATTAGCATTTTCTGTTGATAAATTCTCAGCTGCCGTCAGGATTCTGACAAACTTGTAGGAATTATCTAAGAGGTCATATAGCTTAGTGGTCTACGCACAGAACTCGACCACTTGGGTTCCAATCCCAGCTCTGTTACTTATGAGCTGTGCGACCCTTGGGCAAGGTACTTAACTTCTCTGAGATGGACATTAAAGTAGTTGCTGTGGGGATTAAATGAATGAAAAGGTAAGATGCCTTGGACAGCACCTGGCATATAATATTCAAATCATGCAAGCTATTCTTATTTTAAAATGTTTAGAATATGTTTTTACAGTTTGATCTGGGGCTTTCTCTCTAATCCCCTCCTGCCCCCTCCTAGTCTCTCCACCCTCTCCTTGTGCTGGTCTTCATTATCCATTTCTTCAGGTGCTGCCCTGCACCTGTCCTCCCTTTGGGACAGTTTCCGAGGGAGGCAATGCTGGAGTGGCTGGGGTCTCTGCGCTCTTCATTTCCCAGGGACCTGCAGATAAAACATATTCCAGGCACTGTGGGCGTGACAAGCCAGCGCCAATGGCTCAGGAGGGTTTATAAGATCAGGCCTGGGTCACCTTACATGGCTTAGTTGAGTGGACTGTTTGTAAGTGGCCATCGGTGGCTCTGGGTTTAAATCCCATGCAGGCCTCAGAGGAGTTGCCTTGGGTCCCGCCCTAGCTGTCAGAGCCTCAGTTTCCCTGAGGCTGGAGCAGCCACAGACCTCATGCTGTGCAGGCCTGTGTGACTGCACAGGTCCTAAGGATGGTGGCCACCCACCCTCCTCCTGCCCGGAGAGATCACCATAGGGTAACCTGAGAAATGCTCCCAGCCAAGAGCTTTCCAAGTGGGAGCGCCCTACAGGGGCGGGGGGGGAGGCATCCATTCCCCTGGACCTCTCGCCCCAGCCTGGCTGTCCCCACGCCCACCTGTGTGTGGACCTTGGGGAGGCGGAACCAGCAGAGGCAGGAGGACGGATGAGAGGACTTCTGGAGGACCCTGCCAATCTGGGGACATGCACATGAAAAAGTTACTGTGTCAACACATTAGTGGAAAACAACATGTTTTTCTCCCTGCTGGCCAATTTCCCCTTCACTCTTTCAGCACGTAGACTCACGTGCCCAGCTCTTCCCGATTTGCTGTCCGAGATGCACAGAGGAACCTCACTGGGAGCCGAGAGGGATACTGCTGTCTACAAACGCTTCCTTCCAGTTGTTGAGGGAAGGCAGGCAGCAGAGGAAGGCGAGGGAGGGGTGGGGAGGGTGCAGCTGGAGCATGGCGCAGCGACGGGATAGCAAGGGGAGAACAGTGTTTCTGATGTCTCAGCTGACCTGGACTCTACAGGACTGTCCAGTCTGGACTCTGCCCCTCGGGTGAAATGCCACCGCCCAGGGAGTTTCTCTGGACCCTGCCCTGGCCAGAGCCACCGGCATCAGCCTGCAGAACTCCGTTCTGTGCCGGCAACCCATCCCTCTGCTGGCCACCAGAGTGGGGTGTGGACGTCTGCCAGCCTCGGAGCTCCCCCACCCCCACCCCCGGCTTGGGATTTACAAAAGCACCTCAGACAAAACTGAGGGTCCAGGGAAAATACTTCTCTCACCCCCATCTCTTCTCCAGGTATAAAGTGGCCCATCTGAAAACTCCAGACCCTGAAAGGCCACAGATGGCAGGATTTGCCCCCTCCCCCCCAAGAATGTGAAATACCAGCAAACAAAAGTCTCATCCAAATTAGGAAGCGAGCAGCCCTGTCTGCTCGGGAGTGTGTGCTGTAGGGGCTGTTTGGGGTTTTGGCCTCCCCCACAGGCCCCTCCAGACCCACAATGCTACCAAGACTCAAGCCGTTGTTGACCCCACCTCGGAGCTCCGTGCCCTCCTGTCACTGCACACCCTTGCCAAACCTGAGGTGCGGCTGCCAACCAGCTCTTCCTCGGAGCCCCTTGCTGGCTCCCGCCTCGGCGCCCCCCATCTCCAAGCCTGCGAACAGAGCCCTCTCTGTGTGGAGTTGCTGGGCATCGGCTCAGGCCCAGGTCTACCTTGAGGGGGCCACACAGGTGGGGGTGCATGAGAGGGCTCTGCCAGACAGACACTGAGACATGGGCACGTGCCCCGGGACCAGAATCCCAGCTGTCACCCCCAGCAACAGGGCATGTCCCCAAGGCCCCTGAGCAGGAGACCTGTCCTGTGAGTGAGGGGGGGACAGGGGCCAGGCATTCCAACCAAGGCTATGGGCTATAAGCAGCGATCAAGACCAAGGTTCCGGGAGCTGACAGTGGCCCTGGAACAGGGTCCCTTCTTCCTCAACCCCCACCCTCATTTACCTTCTTGGGACAGGATGATGAACTTGGTGGTCTTGAGGGTCTTTCCATTCAGCATCCAGGTGATAGTGGCCGGAGGGTCAGAGGACACCTGGCACTGGAGTAGCAGCTTCTCACCCTCTGCCACATGAACATCTTGTAGCTTCTCCTTGAAGGCTGGGGCTGTCCCTTGGCTCTCCGATCTTTTTTCATTATCTGTGGCCCCTGCTTGCCCTCTCTTGCAATTCACATCATTCTTAACCTCCTTCTTGAGTTCTTCTTTCCCAGCC